AATGCAAATAAGAGACTTAGCAGAGTAAGTGGCACCTAGAGGATGCTCAATAAATGTCATTGATGACAAGATGATGATGAAGGTGAAGAGAGCTGCTAACGCTAGAATAATGCTCTTGTTGTGGCCTCAATCTTAAGCTCCAAGTCCCTATTTGCAAGGCTGCTTCTGACTCAAACCAGTGTTCCTTCTATTATTCCAGAGAGGGAAGAGGAGGGTGACTCACATCCTGGCAATGGTGGAGCTTCTAGCTGTCCTGTACCAGCTGGGGAGCCGAGGGCTCAAGATGAGGGTAAATAAAATTGGAGCCCCTTAGGCCCAGTTGCTGGGCCATGGCCTTTCCCAGGTTTCACAAGCATCCTGTTTGTTCATTAGCACCAGCCAGGGGGTCTAAGAGAAAGTAGAGCCCAGTCCTCTAGAGAACAAAGCCAGTAAACATGCACCTCTCTGGGCTCAGGTGAAGAAGTTACTCCCCCTGGTCTCAACACAGGCAAGGGGTAGGCAAATGCACTCAGAGAAAGATGCCCTTCAGTTTACTCCTACAGATGGCTGGAATTTTTTACTGGGTAAAGAAGTTAGCCCTGGTCTCAAGGGCTGTGGAGGCAGTAATACTCCAGACCAAGCAACTGAACATTGGGACATCAAGTCATTTTCCCAATTCTCCATGTGACAGGGGCCCCTTCCAGGTGCTTAGAGCTAGCTGTAGAAAAATGAGGGGGCTGGACAACAATTGCAACATGGGCCAAGTTCACAAACATGGTATTTCACCAAACAGAACCACAAATGCCTCATAATCCTATGGTGAAAGGTTCAGCACCACCAATAATCAAAGAAATGCACATTAAAACAATAGGGGTGACACAATTTATTGATGAACAGAGAGGTAAAAATTAAAAAAATATATATAAAGGTAAGAGTTATCTAGGTATAGGCAACCAGGCATTCCCACACAATGCTGGTGAGTGTGTAAATGAGCACAATTTCTAGAAAGCAATCCAGAAATGTGTTTACCAAATGCCTGTACAGTTTCTTTGATAGAGTAATTTCACTTCTAGGAATTTCAATGAAGGAAATAAGATATATGCACAATGATATTCATTTCAGCGTTGCTTACAATAACAAAAGAAAAATATTGGGAACAAATGATGAACAACAAAGGATTGATTAAAGAGATTTTGGTCCAACCTTCAAAGATGCAAACATTAAAATAATTAAGTAAAATATTTATTGATGTGGAAGGATGTTCACAGCATATTATTTGGAGGAGGAAAAAAGCAAGTTACAAAGCAGTGTAATTCCAAGTTACAAATTAGTATATACAAAATAATTCTATTTTTGTATTAAAAATGTAATCTATTTGAATCAATAGGAAAGAAAAAAGCCTAGAAGTAATATATGAAAATTAACAGTGGTTATTACCTATTTTTTAATTTTCTTCTTTATACTTGCCAGTATCTTCTAATATTTTTATAACCAATTTTTTTTTAATGATAAGTGGTCGAACCAGATGATTTATAAAGTTCCTGCCAGTTCTGACATTTTGGACATCTATGACTGATGTCCCAAGCAACTTCAAACAACCCATATTTAGCGTGGGCTTACTGCACGGCCTTTGGAGCCTAAGTCTTTGCCCACAGCCGCAGCCCTCTGCATTCCTCTCTCCCCACACTTGTGGCCCAGCTGTCTCTCCTGCCAGCCTGGGAGCTTCTGCAGGGCAGGCCCAGCTGTACTGCCTGTAATCCATGTCTCTAGCCAAGAGCTGAGCGAAGGAACGAGGCTCAGCATGGTGACAGGTGCCATGTGGGCACAAAGAGATAAAAGGCCCCACTCTAGCTCTAGAATCTTACTAGGACACCGGACTCATACATAAAGTGTTTGGTTGTATAACACAGACTAAGAAAACCAGAGGAAGGAGAAAGCAGGGCAGCTGGGCTGCTGGGCAGGCCCACTGGCCCACTGGAGGAGAAGGTCATGCAGGATGGGTGGGTGAGGGCACTCCAGGCAAGGAGCACAGTCTGTGCAAAGGTGAAGCAAACCCAAAGTCCTTTGGGATACATGCCCCAAACCTTTCCAAGAAGCTTTCACAATCCTTGTTCTGGGGAATTTTTGTACTTTGGCCTGAATGGGTAAAAGTTAAGTGTCTCCTAAACAGAAGTCCTCCCTCTATCTAACCAGGAATTTACCACCAAAGACAAGTCTTTTAGACAAAGACTGAATTACCATTTCAACCAATTTTCCTCCCACCCCACCCAAAGGGGCTACGCAGACAGATGGAAGTGCAGGAGGGGAAGGCAAGGAGGGGCTGCCGAAAGAGAAGGGACAAGCAGACATCTCACATGCAAAACAGTGCTCACCCCACCACCATGCCACTGCCACCATGCCACTGGATTCTCATGCCGCCACCACCAGCCCCATTTGACAGATGAAGAAAGGAGGCTCTGAGAGTTCAAATGGCTTGCCCGGGGTCACCCAGCCAGAGAGTGGGGAAGGCGACTCCACTCAGGCCTTCTGACTCCAAGTCCAGTGCTATTTCGAGGTAACACACAGGACCTGGAGTCAGGAGCCCTGGGTGGCTCTGTCACCCGCTGGCTGCGTGGTCCTGTACAAGCCGCTCACCCCAAGCAGCCTCTTTCCACAACTGTAAAATGAGGCGCGCGATGACCCACCCAGGTCCTTTTCCGGCTCAGCACGACCAGCCTTCTAGGGGCGGCTGCACAGCTCGCCCTATCAATTACATTTCCCAAGTTGGGCCGGCAATGATCACCAGGAGAGCCTCGGCCTGTCACGTGGTTAAATAAAAAAAGCAAACGTCCCAGATTAACTTTCACTGCATTGCTTCTGCTGACACCTGATTAGCCAAATATCTAGCTTCTTTGGGTGAAATGTCCCTGCTCAGTAGGCCCACTGGGCGGCTAAAAAGCAAATGATTAATTAGGTGGGCTCCAGCACAGTGAAGATGTAGTTAAAACCCAGGATCAGACCAGCGCGGACAATTCTTGCCATGAGTCCCTAAACTAGTCTCCAGGCTATCTATTTCAGGCCTCCCTCACCCGCCTCTTAGCGGTGAGGTTTGCTGACGTCCCTAGTACGAGAGCTGGGGACAGCTCTTTCCCAGAGGTAGCTCTGCGTTGGCCACACTAACTGCCCCTAGCCCCGGACTGTGGGTTCCAGGGGAGCTGGGACTGAGACCGGCTTTCCGCGCAGACACCCGCGCCGGGCGTGTGACGGCACCCGGTGACCACGGCTGGAGCTCCACCGCAGTTTCGTCAGAGGTAAAGGTACGCGCCCGGCGCGCGCGGCGTGTGCACACACACATACACACCCGCGCGCACAGCCCGCTCACTACAGTCCCGCCAGCCTAGCAAAGCTCAATCACACGCCACCAGCCCCTTGGGCCCCTACCCCGAAACCACCCGAGTGCGCCAGCCACCGACCACGTCGCCCCTTGGCTCCCCGACGCAGCGACGTCTACTGCGAATAAGGGCCGGCCTTCCCCCACTCGTGGCGGGCTTCCTCTCGGCGACACACCATGCCGCGCCGTCCCAGTCGCAACCCCGGCATCGCCACCCAGAGTCCGCCCGGAGCTTAACGTCTCGGCTGAGGCGTCCCCTCCAAGCCGCGTTTCACCGCAAGGAGTCAGCTTGCAAGCTTCTCCCCGCCCACCCGGTCCCATGACAGCTGCTGCCGCCCAAAGACAGGCAGATTATAACAAGAAGCAAAGTTTCCCTCTCTCCCCTCCCACCTCTGATAAGCAACAAAAAAATTTTC